CAGCCCTTGATAATCTCTATTTTTTCCAGTCATTGATTCCCCTCACATTCCCATAAAATGATGCTCCCTATCATCATTAAATTTTGCTAGGCTTACCTCCCTTCCCCCCTCCTGTCAATTTTTTACCCTCATACTTTAAAGACCACTCCAGTCTTTTAAGTTCTCTACTCCCCCCTTCTCCCTTTCTACTACTCTTTTTTTCTTTTTTCCTCTCTCATTTAGCTTCCAAGAATCTCAACTCAAGTTCAGCCAGCACGCTTAACACTCTATGCTCAAGACCCTCAAAAAACAGCCCAAACAATTTACTCACCTTGACAAACTTCCTCTGCACCCTGCTCGAATATAGCTCTTCCACTCCTTGATCAACCATATGCACAATTCACAGTTGAGGATGTCACTTTGCAAGGGAGACACATCAAGAGCGGCCTCAACGCAGTCATTCATCAGTCCCATCTTGACCACAGCTAGATCGTTTCTCACCCCAACCATGCTCTCCCAATCATCTCTATCAGTCTCGACCCCCTCGGTCCCATCGCTTCCTCCCTCCGAATCAACCACAGAGAAGCCAGAAGCACCTGACTGAAACGACCCTAGCACATCTCCGACCTCTACTCCACCTTTCTCTGTCACCATTACAGAACTCATCTTGCACACTTCCTCTCCAACCCTAGCCCTCATCTTCAGAGTTAGGTTCTCTAGAATTTTCTCATTACCTTCTCCCGATTTTATCCCTTTATACTGACCCGCAAGAACTGGATTTCTGGGCGAATCGGTCTTGATCCGCTTAGACTGCCAAATCTTCCTCACCTGTTTTTTACCCACAAGCTTGCTCGGCCCAGGATCATTCACCCACTTACCCTTTTCAGCCCAAGAGAACTTATCTTTCTTTCCTCCCTCTTTCAGCTCACTAAACGCCCTTCCATTTTCATTCTCCCGCCCTTCCCACATCACGTGACCGCCACTTTCCTAACTTTCAAATTTCGAATTCCGCCTACCCTACTCGCGTTGACTCGCCTTACCTTTCTACCCTACCCGACTCAACTTCTTGACTAGTCGTTTGAGGATATCAGTGAACGATGCCTTCTTCTTTTCCATTAATTCAAGGCTGCATCCAGGACATTTAAAGACAACAGTGTGTTGCTCAACCTGGGGGAATGATTCTCATTCAAGTGTTTTTCCTTTTTCTTTCAGCCAATCCGGGGAAACCAGCTCCATCCCAGTGATTTCATGGACAAAATCCATCAATTTCCACCAACTTTCAACCCGAACCCCCTATGGGAAAACTAACTTGTTGGAACTCCCTCTAGGGCCATCTTCACGTTCCGATAACGCCAAAAATCTTCCTCGCTTATTACAGCTCAGGACCAAGCGCAACGTCCTCCAACAACTTCTTGAAGCCTACTCCAGACCACCTCTCCTTTCTCCCATCTGAACTCTCTGAGACTATTTAAAAACCATTCAACGTCTTTTTTCTGGGGAAAAATAGACCTCCAAAAGCCCCCACCATTTTCGTACACTCTAATACCTCTACCATCTTCCACTACATTGAAAGATTTCTCATCAACAACAAAAAATTTTCACTGGCCCACTGGTATGGTTGGCCGGAGTGACAATTGCCACAAGCGACGAATCATCTAGGAGACACCTTACAGACACTCACAGCAGAAGAAATCCATAGACAGCTATTTGGTTTTCAGTTTTTATTTTTTTTTTATTTTTTTAGAGGGAGAGAGAGAGCAACTCTATTTGACTAAATCATATCTCAGCACAAAACATCAACCTGGCAAGCAAAAGAGCATCTTCGATCAAGCTAGAAAAGACAAGAAACACACCTGAGTGCATGGTTTACAATCATGAGAACTGTAATCAATGAATATCCATGAAAAAAACCCCTGAAACAGGACATGTAACTTTTAGTTTTGACAATTGTCTAGACATATAAAGTATACATATTAATATGTATCTGCATTCTTTTTTTAAGATATATATATACACATATACACACAGATATATATACAGATCATAACCATAAAAGAAAAATCAGGAGCGAAAGAGAAGGCTAGGTCTTTACTTGTTTATGACTGCATCAAAATCTTGAACTAATATTGCAACAGCGTTGAAGGCCATCCCAAATATATACAACCAGAAATTCTGCACGTTTATATTTCTTGATGGACGTTTTTTAATAATAGCCTGTTAAAAGTAAAAGCAACCAAGTTAGGAAAAAGAATCATTATTAGCAGTTTGGCAATTTGCATGGTGCAATGAAGATTTTGCTCCTCTTTTAGAAGCTCATTCATCCTATAAATTTGATCTATGTCATAATCATTAACATTGAACGAGAAATCCTATCTTAATTAAATAATGCTTTGAACATCAACTGAAACTTCAAACTGAATCACAAACAAGGTACTCAAGTTTACCTCAGTATAAACTCCGGCAAAACCGCTCAGAAGAGCCATTACCTAGACAGAAACTAAAAGTCATTAGTAACAAATATTATCATAAAAGTCCTTTTAGAACTCCTTTTCTCTATCAAAGCAAAAGCCTAAAGAATTTAACGACTCACAATCGCCATCATCCAACCTGGAAGAGATGTTTGAAGAACACGATCAGAACTGTAAATAAAAGGTCATTTGCTAAGACATAGTCAATATACTTGATAAACACTTGAACTTCTCACAAAGCTTGTGCCTTTCCAATTGAAGAACAATGTTATAAGTCACTGCTTCTCAAAGATGGTTTCTTGCAAAGCAATATTTATCAGTAATTTTTTAAAGAAATTCCTCATTTAGAGAAGAAAAGAAACATACTTATACTAACAAGGCATAAAGTGGGTACCACCCAAGTACAGAGATGTTACAATTCAACCAGAATATCAATGAGGTCTCCAGATCGTCATCAAAACTGAGAGGATATTGCTTAAAATGAAAAGAAATCTGAGGTCAAGAATCATACATCCCTCATTCTACTAATACATGAAACTACCACACAAGCCCTTTTTGTTCCTTAATTAGTTGCAAATATACTTGCTCTGCACTAATCTTAATGACATTAGGTAAGAATGGAGTGATTGGTCTTGGATCATTGGGTTGATTTAGATAGTGGAGTGTTTAAGTCACTGGATGTCTTCGCAGTCCAAGTGGTTGGAGACTCCGTCTGCATGGGTGAGCTGCAAGGGGGACAAGACCTGGGGTTTGGATGGTTTTTCTATTGCATTTTGTTGAGGGTTGGGCTGTCATTTGTGGGGACATCATTTATATGTTTGACGAGTTTCATGTTTGGGGCAGGTCTGGCATATCTTAACCCCACTTTTCTAGTTTTGATTCCCAAAGTGGAAGGTGTCATAGGCATCCTTGCATTAGACTTAAACATGTAATAAGTGGGTAGTTGGTGAGGCCTAATAATCTTTTCTGGAAGGAATGTGTCTCTTGGCCTTTCCTGCTGTATATGTTCAGTAAAATGAGTTCTGGTGGGCAGTATCAGGAAATGCATTTCTACACCCTCCATTGTGACTTTACCAATTGTGAGTTACTTCTTTTACATCCTCTAAAAGTCAGCCAGATGATGCAATTTCATTTCTGTTGTTTATTTCGGTTATGGAGCCTTTAGTAGGATGTTGATGATGGCCAAACTTTCAAGGACTGACAATTCTTATTTTTTGCAGGCCTGGAAATTAACAACCATCAAAACCGAGATGCGTGTGGTCTCTCTTGAGATCATTTCTAGGTTAGATCAACCAGAAAACTTTAAGCCAGTCCATAAAGTTTTAATGGAGGAAAAGTGTTGGAATCTTGTCATGCAAATGTAGCTCCTCCAATAAATATTAGGGGCTGCAATTGGAGCCAACTTCCAAAACTAAAACATGCGTAAACAGGTCATTAGGAAGCTGTACAATAGATTGGCTAGTTGGAAGAGACATAGCTTTCAAAAGGTGGTAGGCTTACCCTTATCAAGAGCAGACTCTAAAACTTGTCAGTGTACTTCTTGTTGCTTTGAGAATTCCTTCAATTTTGCTTCTTGTGGAGGTAATTCTGATAGGCAAAGGCTTTATCACTTGGCAGCTTGAGATCTAATTAGGCAGGCCTTTTCCTTGGGGCCTGAGTGGCAAAACACTTGGTTGACTTGAATAAG